CACCATCTCGGCCCTGAAGTGGTAGTAGCTGAGAGTCATCCACGATGCACTCTCTGAGCACTCATACAGTTTGTGGCATCTTGTAATGTGAAGAGTGTGCGTTGTTTTCTGGGTGTGACCAAAACGTCCCGTCCTTTTGCTGCGTCTGGAACTTTGTGTGAAAAGGCATCGGGTGCTGAGCATTCCTTCACCTTTGCTTCATCCAAAACGGCTAAAAGGCACTTCCTGTTGGACTCCCGTTCACACTGCGTTTGTTCGGAGCGTGCTCGTGTGTCTGTACTCGAGAGTCAATGCTCCAACCTTATCAAGTCACTGCAAACATAGCGGGGGTCCTGATGGTGGCAAACCAAGGGGGCCGCGTGGCGACGTCGAGGCACGGCCTCTGCAGGACTTCGCTGTTAATGTCTTCCTCCACCGGGGACACCTCGGCACAAATTGAGCCGTCTCCCCGCGGCCTCGGTCGGCTCGTTAGCGACGGTGGCCAGCGGCGGGGCCGGGAGCCCGGAGACTCGAGTGACATTTGAGGAAGCCGACGCGAGCTGGCCTTTTGAAGAAACGAGCCGCACAGAGGCAGGATCGCTAATTAGCCCTCTGCGTCCTCGACTCTCACAACTTACTGTCTTGTTAGATTTCGCACCTCGAGTTTGACAAATATTGTGAAAGGATGTGATTTAAATATAACCAGGGGAGAGAGATCGCGTAGCTGTTTTGTTTTTTATTTTTTTAAGAAGTTCTGCTCAGACTGTGACATTTGCAGTCGGCCATAAATAATCGTGCTCTTTTCTTAAAGCAGCTCTCGGTCTGTAAATCCTGCCTTCATAGTAAACTTGTTCAGGACAAGTTAAAGAATATAAACTAGAGAAACGGCATTTCTTGTGCAAATGTAGTGTGAGTGCTTACTGCTGAAGAACCTGCTGAAAAACAGCTGATATTAGCTAAAGCATGCTGAAATGTAGCTGAAATGGAAGAACAAGCCGAAGTTATCAGAAGAAATCAGAGAGAACACATATTAGGAATTAGGTTTAAATAAGCAGAAACAAGCACAAAAATATAGGGGGGGGGGGGGGGGGAAAAATTTAAAAAAAAAAAAAAAAAAAAAAGAAAAAAAAGTAAAAAAAAAGAAAAAAAAAAAAGAAGAGGGGGGGGGGGGGGGGGGGGGGGGGCTAAATTTAGCACAAAAATAACTGAAAAGGCAGAAAGAAGCTTAAACTACCAGAAGGAAGTGGAAGGAGCTGAAATGAGCTTAAAATAATGTCAAATTAGATGAAAAAGCTAAATTTAGCACAAAATCAGCTAAAAGGTAGCTGAAATAGCAGATAAAGCTGAAACTAGCTGAAGAAGTTGACAGGAGCAGAACAAGCTGAAATTAGCAGAAATAAGTTAATTAGGCTGAAAGTAGCAGCGATTACCACAACAAATGAATGTATTTGTAAACAGCTGAAATTAACTAAAATGCTTTAAAAGTAGCTGAAAATGTAAAACAATTGTAAATTAGCAGAAGAAAGCAGAAAGAAAATGTTTGCTGAAAGTAGAAATGAGCACTAAACAGTGGAAAGTATTTGAAAAGCGTCTAAAAAGGCAGAAAGAAGCTGAAATTATCAGAAGGACGTGAAGAGAGTCCATTTTTGCTGAATTAGGCTGAAAAAAGTTTAAATGAGTGCAAAAAATGTGGAATTAGCTAAAAAAAAAAGCTTAAATTAGCATAAAACAGCTATATAGTAGCTGAAATAGTAGAAAAGCTGAAGCTTGCAGAAAGGAGCTGAAAGGAATTTAAGAAGCTGAAATGATCAGTTAGAAGAAACAGAAAATGTAGAAAGAGTCTGAAAGGAGCAACCCACAGCTGAAAAAACAGCTGAAAGTAGCTGAAGAAACAGTTTATATTTGCAGCAGGAAGCTGAAAGAAGCCGAAGCAGAACAAAACATGAAAGGAGCCGTAAAAGGTTGTAAACAGAGCTAAAGATTTGAAGGAGGTAAAATGAGCTCAATTCGTTTTCTATGAGGAAAACAATGTCAGAAAAGGCTAAAATATTTCAAAAAGCTAAAGTTGCACCAAAAGTCAAAGCAGGATTGTCCTGAACGAGCCGAACGTTTTGATTCACGATTTGTTGAAACGGCTGAAAACTGCAGAACGAGAACTGCACCGAAGAACGCACGTAAGAAAAATGGATGACAACAGAGTGAATGCTTCATGAACAGTCACACAATAATATTTACGGTCAAATAAAGAAGAACTCGAACAGCGGAGTCGGGTCGTCTTCGAGGTGTGGATGGTTCTGGCGCTGGCGTTCTGCCATGGCGAGACAACCAAACCCTCCGTTCCCCCGCGCTCGGCTGCAGACCTCAGACGCAGCGATCGCTCACTTTGCTTCTCGTTGATTGCACGTGATGCAGGCGAGCAGTTGGCAGCAACAACAGCACGGCGGCACAATTTTTCCTCCACGAAAACGGTATGGGCCGACTGAGCCGAGGGTCGGGGGCAGCCGTTCGTCTTGTCTGCAGCTCGCTGGATGTGATCAAATCTCCTGGTTCAGGTTCCTCGAAGAGGAGATATGGACAAGTAATATCTTACTGGTTATAGGTATCTCTGGAGGAATACCGTAATTTCCAGACTATTGAACGCACCTGAATATAAGCCGCGCCCTGTAAATAAAAGCAGTACATATATGTGCCACACTTGTGTGTAAGCCCGGGGTATCCAGGTTCCTACATGAGATGTTTATTTACAGAAAGATTAATTAAATACGTACTGTTGTGCCCCAGTGAAATGAAATGACCACTGTGACCTGTTCTGTAATTTCATTGGTCAGATTAAATAAATATATTTATACAGGTTCATTGAGTCACGAAGACCCATCCCCCAAGAGAGACGTGTATTGGGTAGCTATGTGAGCGCCCGGGTGTGACGAGGCTAAACGTTTTGGCAGCATGAAGCTAGTTAGCCTGTCAATAAATAAATAAATAAAAATCCATAAATTAGCCTCAGCATTGTCTAAGCAGTGACGTTCAAAGCCTTTGAAAAAGTAGCGGCTTATAGTCCAGAAATTACAGTAATTTAGCATCTGTGCTAACTGTTGGCCAGCAGCCTGTCGTTAATTGAGTTTTTGACATGCTATAAATAATAAGACATACAATTAGAATAAACAGTGTTTCATTATGTGAGAAAGCCAAAGTTATTAACAGATAATCACAAGGCATTAGGCGTAATACCGTTTTATAGTTTCCTCGCAGCTGTTTGAATTGTACTCGCATCTAAAGTCTCCTTTAAATTCCCTCCCCGAGTCCGAGCGTAACCAAGTGTTGCGTCATCACAAGTGTTGCGTCATCACCGTGAAAGCAGAAACTATTATAAAAACCTTTACATTTGCTTCGCGTTTGTATCCGAGGCAGTAGATCTTTTTATGTTGTTCCCGCAGGAAGTGCTACAGTCAGCTGCTGCCGTTGCTGTTTGACTTTTGTTTCTTTTGCAGTCAAACAATTGACTAGTTAAAGGCAGAAACGCACTTGTTCGTGCTTTTTGACTTTTTTCTACCCGTGACGTAAATTTAATCAGTTTTGAATATCCATTTAATAAAAAGAAAACGCCAGATTATAGTAAAGAAAGGGAAAAATACTTTTAATTTATTTTTTATTTTATTAAAAACACTGTGAACTATGCAGATCTGTTATTTTTTAATTGTGGAAATCTTAAGTGTCCTGCTTTGAAGAAATAAAGCATAAAGCTAAAAGTGAGTATGTGTTACTGCTTATATTAGTTATAGGATTAAGATATTTGCGAAAGAAATGACAGGGAAACCGCTAAAACTAGCCAATTTTAGTTGTTGGTATTACAACCTATAAAATTTAGTTTTATGTTTGTTTTAGTCAAAGCTTGAAAGAGTCCCTGCAGAGGCACCAAAGAGCTGAATGTGGCTCTAGAGCCGTAGGTTGCAGACCCCTGGTTTACAGTAATACAACTAGCATTAGCAATATTAGCATTAACATTGCTAAAACGAGCATTAGCAGTATTAGCATTAACAGTAATTGAACTAACATTAGCAGTA